TAATATAATATATTTATCATTAATTAACTTAAAATATAATTTATATATTTAAAAGTATTTATTTATACAATTTTAAATATAATTTATATATTTAAATATAATATTTATTTGTATATATAATTTGTTATAAATTTTAGTTACATATAATAAATATTTAATATATGTATTATATAGACTAAAATATTAGTTATATATTTAAATATGCTATTTAAGGAATTTGTTATTAATAAGAACTAGATTGCAATGGACAAATTTTCTTGATATGATATAAATGAAACCACAATGAAATTTAAACAAGAAATAAATTAACATTAAAAAAATAAATAAATAAGAGAAATGGTAAAGGAATCTTGAGATGGATGTTGTATTGTCGACAGATTTCTAACGTGTATTACTATTTATGTTTTCATTATAATTCATATTTCATATCCAAAAGATATATGTAAAAGACGTCCAAATAATCAAAATATGAAAAATATATATTTATTATAATTTTAATCTAACTTTTATTTCTTCTAAAGTTCCATAGAATTGTAGTAATTGATTTCAAAACAGATTTTATCAAAAGATTTAATTTACTTCAAATTCAAAGTCTTCAACCTTTTCCAAGAAATGTTTAGCTGTTAAAGAATAATTTTTGTATCTCTTGCCTATGAATCGAATTTTATAACACGAAACTCATTAAAAAAAATCCATAAAATTAATGTCATATATATTCTTAAAGCATAAAAGAATGGAGGATAAAAAAGAAGAAAATAAAATATTGACCTTTGCTCTTACTCACTTCTCAAGTAAGTCAATAAAAAAAATATCGAAGAAAATTCAATCAACTTTCTCATTTAAATAGGAATATTTTTTAGAGCAGTTAACACAGTCATATGACTTATACCCCATTAAAGCATTAATAATGAACAATAAAGTGTCACTAAACCTCTCCCATTTTATATTTTAATACAATAAAGCCTTAACTTATAGAAGATGAAAAGAATAATAGAACATGTTTTGAATGTACATTTTTTTAATATTACAACAATATTTATATTAAAAACTTCTATTATTAATTTTATTAATAATTTTAATATTTTAATATTTTCTTTTTTAATTATTAATATTACTTTATAAATTTTTATGAAGAATTTTTTAATCAGTATTTTGTG